TTGCCCCCCTCCCGACTGGCCCCATTGGCCTTGGGCCAGTAACCCACCACGGCCATGGCGATGCCCACCAGCAGCACCAGGATCCCGCAGAGGGCGATGAGCCCCGAGATGGAGCACAGCTTCAGCTTGCCCTTCACCACCACCACGTCGTTCTTGCGCCTCCTCTGGACTTTCCGCTTGCGCTTGGGAACCTGGCTGGGCGGGCGGAGGGGATCCTGCTTCCTGGCGGAAATCCTCAGCAGGCCGCCGGTGGCGATCATGGCGCGCCGGTGGAGTGCGGGGCTAGCCCCGGGGGCGGAGGCTTGCGCAGGCGGGGCGCCAGCTGCCCGCTAGCCGCTCCGCCACCTCCTCCTGCTGCAAAGCAGAGGAAAACAGTCAGGCTCTCGGCTTGGCTGCAGCAACATGCCACGCGCTGCAACTGTCCCGCTCCCCCCATCCCTCCACAGGTGTGCCTCCTCCCCAGGCACACTAAGGGGAGTGCGGCCTAGAGAGACCAGGGGGTGGGGTAGATGGACTGGGGAAACGCAGCGTTGTTGCAAAAATTGATAGAAGGCGATAAGACACTTTGAGAGAAGCCTTCTTCTCTCCCCTATGCCTCCATTCACATACACTCTACAGCTAACATTCCAGCGTCTTCATTTCAAACTCTCCTGGTTGGCAGCCAACAGAGCTCTGACCATGAGGAGACACCAAATGTGTTGACTCCGCGTAGTAGTTGAGGACTTTCCAGGCAAAAGCCATTCCCTCTGTCCTCCTGGAGTCAGAAGATTCCCAAGGGATTTGCCGCAGGAATTTCAACTCTCACCCTAAGCCAATAATTTGTCAAGGTTCAGTCAACAGTCACTAAAACAGCCCCCAAAGTTACTATGTTGCACAAAGAGAATTCATTTCACGGGGTGAAAATTAAAGGTCATACATATGCTGGCAGCTTATTTGCCCCAGGTAATTAATAGAGAGCCCACTGCTGGCAGAACACCAGAGAGAGGTGCCAATGCTCTGACAAATATCTGCACAAAGACGTCTTCCACCTATTACTGTTCCCACAGCTAAAGGCAAGCAGATCCCTTTCGTAGCCTTTTCATCATCTCTTTTCTGCAACATCTGGACAGCTTCTTGGAGTGGAATATTTAGTTTTAGGTAACCGGTTATGTAACGCAGCTCTTCCTCTGGCCTCCTCCCCTCCCTCGGAGGAGCTCCCATACAGGTATCATATGCTAGACCTCTTCAGGGGGTTTGAGAGGTCCCCAGAATCTCCAAGAGAAAGATCTCTTTATCCTGTGGGAAAAGTACCACCTTAAAAAAAAATTCACCAGTCTGCCAGAAAAGCTTTCTGACCCCTTATTAATGTGTCAACACTTTACAGCATCCCCAAAATTCAAATGAGTAGGCAATTAACTAGGCACAGCATAATAATGATGATTTGTAAAATGACATTTCCCCAAGGGAGAACACATTTTCTTCATCTTTTTCTCATGAGGTCATTTTTTTTTTTTTAGGAAGGGAGGGTGGCAACCATCAGTGAGTGACCTATCCTATAGGAAGTTTAGTTGTTTATAATAAAGCTGAGGTTCTGTACATGCAGATGTGTCTTTGTGGATATCTGTTAGCTTCTAAAAATGAAAGGCTTCGGTATCACTCACAAGCCTTTTGGCATTTTATCCTTTAGAAAGTAATTCATGTGTCAGAATAAATTACCCTTTGAAAAGGTGGGACAACTAAGGTAGAATTTTGCTTTTAATTGGTGCCTGGGTGAAGAGCTTTGGCCCTCGATTCCCTCCATTATATCAATATAGGCAGGATCTTTTCTCCACCCGAGGAATAGCAAATGGTAATCAGCACTTTGCAATGGTTGCAAGTCAATATCTCCTGAGAATTTAGTTGGTTTTCAGTAGGGAGAAATACTAGGTAGGTTAGAGAGGGGTCAGTAGAGAGAATACATCTATTATAATTTTGTTTTTAAGAAACTGCACAAGTACAGATTGTTAAAAACAAACAAACAAAAAACAGAGTAGTTAATTGTCCATCTGACCCCCCCTCCCCCGCCCCCAGTAAGTACATTCATTATGTAGTTGTAACACAGACAATGCTGTTTTAAGTGACCCCTAGACTCTAGCATCTTATCTGGAGATCTGTGCTTATTTTAAGGATTTAGGAGCCAGACATTTTAGAAACAAACCCGGACTCGGTTGGCAGGTGACTCTCCCAGATGAGAGAAGGGCTAACATTTTGTTGGGCATCCATACGGTGCACCAGGTCGCTGGGTGCCTTGGGGAGGAAAGCCCCCCACAATGTATTTCTCCTCGGGCGTTGGCTCTGGGTAGACTGTAAGGAAGACTGGATTTCAATCATCCTTTACAGAAGATCTTTAAGCTTAGTTTAACAGCTAGTAATTAACTCCCTGGTTTATTTTTCCTCAGCTCTGTGGAAAGCTGAGCTTCTTTCTAACATATCACCATCTGACATGAGATACTAAGCACAGTGGTCGGATGTGAGGGAAGACCACCTCTGAGGCTTTTTTGTTCTTTCATCCAGAACGAGGGAAAACTAACTTAGCAGTCGAGGTTGGCTACCCTCGAAATTTGCTGCCCGGTGCTGGTCTTTCTATGGTTAAGGAATGGAGGATGGGGGGGAGTCTAAAAATACAACTGCTTCCATGAGACACATTCAAGTTCGCGGCTCATGATGGATTGAGCCCCACTCTGTGTGAGAGGCTCGGCGCCCACAGACTGGGAGCGCCCTGCCCTGGCCCGGACTCAACCCAGGTCCTCGACCCCCGCCCCCTCCTCGGCAGGGCAGCGAGCCCCTGGCCCGGCGCTTTCGTCTGCTTATTAATGTTGGAGTCACATGAGAGCAGCAGCTGGGAGTCCGCCCCTGGGAAGAAGACAGGCGGGAGAGAAGTGAGGGCATCTGCACCCGCTTTTTGCGGGCAGCGCATCCCATAGAGCCCGCCCCCGGGCCAAGGGCTCTCCCGTCCGGGGGCCCCGGCTGGCGGCGGCAGTGGTGGGAAG